GAGTTTCAAGGCAAGTATTTGTATCATTTCTAGACAATTTCTATTTCAATGTTTTGCTGTTGCCATGGCGTTGTAAATTTATTTGTATTTGGTATAGCTTCACTAGTACGATCAAGTATGTCCTCATATCGCTTTTTTGTGTTGAAATAATCGTTTCATACTGAAATTGACAAATATAAATGGTATTTATTTATATTGTTGACGAAAATTTATGGTGTTTTAGGCATAAAAATCTCTGATTCCTAGGCGAAGTAAAATGAGCCTTGAGTACATGTTTGGTTGTTTGTTACATACATAATAGCCAAGTATTCATACTTATATCTTACTAGTTGGCTCTTATTATAATTTTAAGTGGCACCATGTCTATAAAAGTTTTTATTCGCACTGATGAATATATTGATCCTGTTCCTATCTGCTGTTCCTGTTTCATAGCCTCAGGGGAGTAGAGTTCTGATGAGTCATGAGAACCCCACTCACCAACCCAGAGGGAAGGTAGGGGGATGAGTAGAGGTAGAGGGAAGCCCAGCCATTAGGACCTAAGGTTTCGAAAGCTCCCTGTCTAGCATCCCCACTAGGCCCCATAGTACATGACGGATATGATGATCCTGACGCCAGGAATGTTCTCCCAGATTTTGCTCCTCACTGACATGTCCAGGATCCATTTCGATCAACTTTGAGCTTGAGTTCATTCGGCTCAATGAACTGTGAGCTTGAGTTCATTCGACTCTTTTTTACTAAGGGAATGCTTCAGGAGGTAGTTTCCTGGCCATACCAATACATATGCCCACATACAAATAACTCAAAAGTTATCCCCATATACTAACAAAAAAGGGTCTTGCAGTCCACCAACCTTGAGAGGTTGATTGCCTTTTAGTATAATATGCAGGTTTGCTAAAGATCGACAGTGAGATTGAAAATTATTGGAGTGTAAAAACCTTATATCATGGTCTGTGGGCAATAGACATAATTTCTCGGGTTAGGTACAAAACGCTTATGGCGTTTGTGAATATGGTAGATCCTGTACTAAAGACTACAGCAATAAACTGCATCAACAACTGTACCAGCCGTTACAGAATATTGTTGTTGCAGACAAACACACTGTCAAATCAAGAAATAGGTTGGGGGTTAGGCAGTTCATGAAAGCTAGATGTGGGGAATAAATCTGTGGGTTGCTGCAGACAATCCTAATGGTTATATTGCGACTTTGAAATTTATACAGGAAGAAGTCCAGATATTCATCGCAACAGATTTGGGTATGACGTGGTGATCTGATATCAGTTTGGTTACAGCCTTAGGTCTTTTGTGGTACAATATAAAGGAAATATTTTCACCACATAATCCAATTATGTGCTTTGGCAAACATTACTGCTTTAGCAAACATTACTGCCTTGGAAAACATTACTTTTTTATAACTACTAATTATGATGATGCCAGCCCAACAACCCTTGGTCATGCTATTTGCAAATATTTTCATGTTCTAGATTGTGAAAACAATCAATTTCTAAACAAATGAGTAGTGATTATTTCAAATTTGAATAGCATGACCAAATTTTGAGGCTGGTTATGCCACTAATAACTAAAGTCAATGGTGTAATGATTATCTAAGAATGTATGTAGTAATTGTAGAAATAAAGACATTTTGCTAATCATGATTTGAGTGTTCTTTTGTGGGTATCACAGACTTATTTTGGTGCCATACTATCTTTGGAGAGTAAGAAATATTGGAAATTTGTATTGATAACATGTTGCAGCAATAAAAAAGGACCTTTGATAAAGGTATTTGTTTCATGTGAGCACAAAATGTAAATTTTACTCCACTACCTAGTTTACATAAAAATTCAATAAAAATATTTCTATTTATGCTACATGCATGAAACTTCGGGTACTTGTAGAGTCATATTCATAAAATTCAGTCATATTCATAAAATTTTTTGACATACTTGAAATTTGAACCGCTAAATACATTTATGCATAATTGCAACATTTTTCTATATCATAATTTATGCAAATGTATGCGAGTAAATCGTTAACCAAGCTCCGGATGAAATTGAAATTGGTATCGTTGGAAAGCAGAAGTCCTCCTCTTTCGAACGATGCAATTTCTGTTTCCGTGCGATGTATAGTTTGAGAGATATAAGCGTTTGAAACAACACCACTCGAAATTGCTACTTTTCGACCGGATGAGAATGAGTTAATGGCTTAACAATAAGGATGGGCTTGCATTGATTCAACATTTCACAAATTTAAATACTAGAAAACTACTTTACTATAGCTTGGTCTATCCATATCTTACTTATGGCAACTTGATATGGGTTAATACATATAAAAAGAGAATTCAAAAACTAATAAATATCCAAAAAAAGATAATTAGATTAATTACATTCAAATCATACACTGAACACACCGAGCCCCTCTTCAGAAACCTGGAGATATTGAACTTTGAAAATATAAATGATTACCTAATTTGTCTGTTTATGTTTCGATATTATTATCTCGAAAATTTACCAGAAGTATTTAGTAATTATTTCACCAGGAATGATGAAATTCACCATTACAACACAAGAACTTCATCACAACTTCATAAGTCTAATTATAAAAGAACAAACTATGCAAAACAAACCCTTTCTGATAAAGGAGTTAATATTTGGAACAAACTAGATTGTAATTATAAAAATATCAAATCTTATACTACCTTCAAAAAGAAAATTAAAAAGCACCTACAGGTGTATGTACCACAGAATACCACGGTACCACAGAATACCAGGCTTGTTTATATCTTATATAAAATTTGAAGGAAATACGCTATAAACTTTACTTTTGTGATTAAATATTAGTTATAGTCTTAATTGACATATGAAAACAGAAAATGTATATTTTCTTAAAAATTCTTAAAAATAATCAGCATTAACAAGAAGTAACATTCTATGTTCTTGGTACTTTTTTTTCGTATAATGCCTGTAAAATCCGAATGTTTAAAAATAAGTTTGCAAACCAGCATAATTTATGTTGATCAATACCTTTTTTATGCAACACAACATTATTACTACACTGGAATCACACAGTGTAATCAATTTTACCATTGAAACACTGAATTTTTCAAAATTATTGATACACCTGATATTCTTTGGTTATATACCACTGGTATTCTTTACTGATTTTAGTGTTTAACTTTCACTAAATTAAGTTAGCAATATCCCACAGTATTACCATACAACATGACACACCAAATCCTGGTACAATTTGATAAACCATTGCTTACTTACCTCTGCACTGGTATTCTGTGGTACATTGGATTTTTTTCCACAGAATATTCATTTAAAAAAAATAATTAAGTCTATGAAATCTTGCCCCAAAACCCCCAGGAAGAAAAAATATATTGTTAGACTATACTAAAAAATATTAAGGAACCATATTATATACATAAGACAAAAGATATGGAACATGTAAATTTTTGTGGTATTCTGGTACATACACCTGTACTACTCAATAATTAAGCACTGTAAATATAGCAATAATTTCTTACTCTTTCTGCTTGTATCTTGTATATTTGAGCATCTATAGTTATTCTACTTGTAAGTATAGCACTATAGGTATCCGTTCTGTCCTTTATTTAAAGTCTTAAGACTTGACAGTACTTTTGACAATATACTGGTTTTTATGAATTTTTAGTGACTTAATTTTTACCCGTATAAAACAATAGGGACCTTAAATAAAAGCCTATACAGGTTTCCAAAGGTCTCTAGCTCTCTGAAAGTATCTAAAAGGAAATAAATGTAAACAACTATGTAATTTGGGCAATAAAAAAAACAAGTGGTATACACAACAAACATTAGTGTTTGAGGGTTAGGGCTTGTGTTGGATGCAGATCAGCTCAAATATCACCTACATGAGAGAGGCTTTTATAATAAAAGTGATAATATATGATTGTGAGCATTTTACTGACTTATAATAATTGAATGATCTATAGAATAACAATGTTAAGTAATTGCAGGAGCAGTTTTTACTCAGTAATATATGACTTGATTGCAAGTATGAGCTAGATCGATAAAAGTCAATCCAATGCCCTCCAGGCTCAATGAAACCAATACTATTTGTGATATTTTTATGTACTCAGGAGAATATGTTTTTGATGTTACTCCATGAGTGTATATCCATGCACACGGGGCGATGGTTGTCGAATACTGACGCATGCATACACGTTGTTCGTTTTGTAAAATTTTGGCTACGGATGGAAGACTTGTTTTGTCATAACGATTGGTAAGGACTGAACATCGATCCGTCGATTGGTAACGGATCGACTGGGAATTGACGATCGGAAAATATGAATTGTCTATCCGTGAATCTAGTGCTCAAGTGTTCAAGTGGCTAAAGGAGCCCTCCAAAATTTTGTCGATCCGTACCATTGGTAACGGATGGACTGGGAATTCATGATCGGAAAATATGAAATGTCGATCCGCGAATCTAGTGGTCAAGGGGCTAAGGGAGGCCTCCAAAATGTTGTCGATCCGTACCATTGGTAAATGATGGACTGGGAATTCACGATCGGAAAATATGAAATGTCGATCCGTGAATCTAGTGGTCAAGGGGCTAAGGGAGGCCTCCAAAATGTTGTCGATCCGTACCATTGGTAAATGATGGACTGGGAATTCACGATCGGAAAATATGAAATGTTGATCCGTGAATCTAGAGTTCGAGTGTCTAAGGGAGGCCTCCAAAATGTTGTCGATCCGTACCATTGGTAACGCATGGACTGGGAATTCACGATCGGAAAATATGAAGTGTTGATCCGTGAATCTAGAGTTCGAGTGTCTAAGGGAGGCCTCCAAAATGTTGTCGATCCGTACCATTGGCAACAGATGGACTGGGAATTCACAATCAGAAAATATGAAATGTCGATCCGCGAATCTAGTGGTCAAGTGGCTAAGCGAGGCCTCCAAAATGTTGTCGATCCGTACCATTGGCAACAGATGGACTGGGAATTCACAATCAGAAAATATGAAATGTCGATCCGCGAATCTAGTGGTCAAGTGGCTAAGCGAGGCCTCCAAAATGTTGTCGATCCGTACCATTGGCAACAGATGGACTGGGAATTCACAATCAGAAAATATGAAATGTCGATCCGCGAATCTAGTGGTCAAGTGGCTAAGCGAGGCCTCCAAAATGTTGTCGATCCGTACCATTGGCAACAGATGGACTGGGAATTCACAATCAGAAAATATGAAATGTCGATCCGCGAATCTAGTGGTCAAGTGGCTAAGCGAGGCCTCCAAAATGTTGTCGATCCGTACCATTGGCAACAGATGGACTGGGAATTCACAATCAGAAAATATGAAATGTCGATCCGCGAATCTAGTGGTCAAGTGGCTAAGCGAGGCCTCCAAAATGTTGTCGATCCGTACCATTGGCAACAGATGGACTGGGAATTCACAATCAGAAAATATGAAATGTCGATCCGCGAATCTAGTGGTCAAGTGGCTAAGCGAGGCCTCCAAAATGTTGTCGATCTGTATCATTGGTAACGGATGGACTGGGAATTCACGATCGGAAAATATTAGAGCTGCTCCCATCGGTTCGTTTTCATAATCGATTAATCGTTGTCAACAATCGATTAATATCGATTAATCGTACTGAAAATTAGTTTAAATATATATGACAACCCCATGGTGGTTTGTAAAGTTTTCACTAAATTTGTTGGGGTTGCATTATTCAGTATTAACGTTTTACATAAATCGACGTTTAAAATAAACGTTAATCTCAGTTATCTCACGCTCTCACACTCCTCACAAGAGATATCAATTCAATACCAAGACAAAGTTTCATGTTTTATCACTTTTATGACAGCCATGTTTAATAAAAACTAAAAAGTGTTCGTAATCCTATTCCAGTATTCCTTCAACAAAACAAGATTACTAACAATCAAATTTTCCAGTGAACAAAAACTAAAGAACGTAACAGATTGTCAAATGCAATTATGCAATATAAATACAATTATATAACACAGTGCATTAAAACGCGATGTCTACATATCGTTTTTGTTTAAAAATAGAATTGCGTCGACAACAGCTGGCTTAAGCGAGGCACGTTTCTTTCAGACGACCAGTCCAGCCTTGCTGAAAATCTCTTCGCTTGGCACGGACGTCGGCGGAGCCACTAATACTCTAGCGGCAAGGTTCCGTATGAAAGGGTATCGCTTTTCGTTTTCTTTCCACCACATTAACGGATCTTCCGTCAAACCAATTGGTGCCTCGTTGCTCAGTTGCTGTACCTCTTTATCAATCTTTCGATTCTTTTCCGCTTGAGATTCTTCTTCGCGTGTGGATTCCTCGATTTTCCTTTACCAAGCAACTCTTCCATGGCTACCTCTGACTTGGATTTCTTTGGCGGTGGAAAAACCTCTGGTTCGGATGTACTGCTAGCAGCGCCGCTGCTTGTAGGCAATGATGGCATGGCTTTCACAGTCTTTGACGCAAACTTCGCTAATGCATGCCTCTCGTGTTCGCTCAGAAATGACAGGTTACGGAATCTGGGATCCATGAATGAAGCCAACAGATAAAATGGAACCAGTTCGCAAGTGTTTGTTTCCTCGTAGGTGACATCCAATTGGTCGAGAAAGAATCTTTCAGTCAACGACTGGACGAGGGTATCCCTAAAATTCTGCCCTGGTGGAGTGGTTGCTCGCCGTCGGCCATCAGTTACCGCACACTCAAAGGTCATGGCTTTCAATTGTTCAACCAAACCGGTAATAGCAGGCAGGACAACTCCAGATGTTGTTTTAGACTGCGAGCTAAAAAGAACAGTAGCCAGCTCCACCTTCCTAAGAACTGGAATTATTTCCTCGGCAAGTTTCCAAGATTTGGCTGGCATATCTAGGACCCTTGCTTCTTGTGGTTTGGTCAGAGATTGATCAGACAACACCGCAACGACTGGCCAACGCAACAGCGACAGACGCCCCAACATGTAAAATGTGGAGTTCCATCTGGTAGACACATCCTGAATCAATCCTTTGCCATGATGTTCAGACGACAGCATCTCTTTCACTTTAGTGCGAAGACCATTTGTTGCCAGACTGGACATTTTAAAATGCCCCACTAGCCTCCTGGCAGCAGCAACCATGTTTTCGAAAGGCTGGTCAACCCCCTTTTTCATCGCATCTCCAATCGACAAATTCAGACTATGTGCCGCACAGCCGATATTGAAGGCTATCGGTCTGTCTTTTGTGCCATTGATCATCTGGCCGGCAAGATTAACATTTGCAGCATTGTTGTGAATGCAGGCAAACACACGATGTTCGAGGCCAAATTCTTTCATCGTGTTGTTCACCTCAGCAGCTAAATTCACCGCGGTATGACGATCAAGGCTTGCTCTTGTCGCAAGGACTTTGCACGTCATTTCCCATTCACGAAGGAAGTGCACTACACAAGAAAAAATAGATAAATTAATTCACAGAGCAAAACAGGTATAGATTGAAAGCTACAAAACAGAAATTGATAACTGAAATTTGTGACTTACCGGTAATTGTGCAATAACTATCCTGCGCCATACTGGTCCAGCCGTCAGTAGTGATGGAGATGTCAGATTTCAATTTTTCTAGCTCGCTCTTCAGAGCTTGTATGCCTGCAGTGTGTCGAAGCATGACCAGTTGACGGATCGTTTCTTGATTAGGGATTTGGTAGGTTGGCCATGCATGCGCAATGAGATTACGGAACCCAGTATCTTTTACGATGCTAAATGGACGCAAATCTTTAACACAGACGTTGGCAATATGCGCAGTGATCTCTTTTGCTTTGCCTCCTGATAGGTCAATCTTCTTTTGAAAGAAGCTTGTTACCGATGAACAGCCAGCGCTAGTTGATGCGGTTGGTTGGTAAACATTTGAATGGCGTCTCATAAGGTGTTCTCGAAGATTTGTTGTATTGCCATGTCGGCGAATTGTCGCGTCGCAGTGTTTGCATTTCGCTGATGTTTGATTCTCGGCAACAAAATGGTTCCAGACGTCGCTTCCTCTTCGAGACATTAAACAAAAAACTGTGCGACAAAGCACAAGTTGAGTGTCTCTCAAAGACTCCAACTAACTAAACTCTTGTAAATATTTTCGCAGTACTGGTGAATCTCACATGCTAGTAGTGACTTTGACATTTGACCCATGATGTTTTGAATCAACGCACGCAAGTTCCTTTGTTATTTGATCGCAATTTTGTCGCATTTTTTTAATCCGGAAAGAAAATTCTGGCATCATGCTGCGATATAAGCTTGTTATGGATGATCCGATTGTTGTTAAGCATAATCGATTTAGGAAAAATAATCGATTAATCGGGAGCAGCTCTAGAAAATATGAATTGTCGATCCGTAAATCTAGTGCTCAAGCGTTCGAGTGTCTAAGGGAGGCCTCCAAAATGTTGTCGATCCGTACCATTGGTAACGGATGGACTGGGAATTCAGGATCGGAAAATATGAAATGTCGATCCGTGAATCTCGCGAATCTAGTGGTCAAGTGGCTAAGCGAGGCCTCCAAAATGTTGTCGATCTGTACCAATGGTAACGGATGGACTGGGAATTCACGATCGGAAAATATGAAATGTCGATCCGTGAATCTAGTGCTCAAGCGTTCGAGTGTCTAAGGGAGGCATCCAAAATGTTGTCGATCCGTACCATTGGTAACGGATGGACTGGGAATTCAGGATCGGAAAATATGAAATGTTGATCCGTGAATCTAGCGTTCGAGTGTCTAAGGGAGGCCTCCAAAATGTTGTCGATCCGTACCATTGGTAACGGATGGACTGGGAATTCACGATCAGAAAATATGAAATGTTGATCCGCGAATCTAGTGGTCAAGTGGCTAAGCGAGGCCTCCAAAATGTTGTCGATCTGTACCAATGGTAACGGATGGACTGGGAATTCACGATCGGAAAATATGAAATGTCGATCCGTGAATCTAGTGCTCAAGCGTTCGAGTGTCTAAGGGAGGCATCCAAAATGTTGTCGATCCGTACCATTGGTAACGGATGGACTGGGAATTCAGGATCGGAA